CTGCACCTGCCCAGGGTGTAGGCTATGGGCTTTCCTAGGTCACTGGCAGCATGATTTTCCCAAAGGGAACGGCAGAGGGCATTTTTGTCACATTGCCCTGTCCCAGGATTATTTTTCTTTAATTTAGTGTTTGACAAGTACTAGAAGAAAAGGGGCCAAAGATAGTTTCTTTAATTGATCTATGACCAGAAGTCCCTGATCTTTTTTTTTTTTGGGGGACCAGGGATCAAACTTGGGACCTTGTGCTTGGTAGGCAGGTGGCGGAACCACTGAGCTAAATCCTCGGCCCAAAACTTTTTGTTTGTGTAGGGTTTTTTTTTTTTTCGGTTCTAGGGATCAAACTCTGGTTCTTGTGCTTTCAAAGCAGGTGCCGGAACCACTGAGCTAAATCCCCAGCCCCTCAGAAGTCCCTGATCTTGGCCTTTAATAAATGACTGCAGCGGATCATACCTCTGACCTAAATCTTCACCATTATCATTGCTAGATCATTGCTAGAATAAACACCTCCCCAGTCACAAAGTCCTTTCACATTATCTTTTCATTTTTCCCCATGTTTTCAATGCCCTCATGTAACCTCTAACTCAAAATAAGAAAAGTGATGCTCAGATAGCAGACGCAGCTCAGAGGGTAGCCTGGGAGGAGAAAGTTCAAGCCCAAGGCTTTCATGGGAGCTCTGGAGGCCCTGAAGTCTGCTGGGCAGGGTCAGATGTTTCCAGGGCCCCAGACAGACAGCAGGAGAAAAGGGCATTCTTTTTTTGGTACTGGGAATGGAACTCAGCACCTTGAGCTTACCAGGCAGGCACTATGCTGCTGGGCTATATCCCGTTACTAACAAGGACAATCTTACCCAGTGCTAGGCCATTATATGTGTCAGGACTCTTTTGACTTCCTGAGGCCCAGACATCCCCCCTGCCCTCTCCAAAGAGGCCTGACTCGTAGTTTGTTTAAATCTATCAGGAAGTCCCAGTCCATGGTGAAGGGCAGATCCACCTGAAGGCTACCCTGGGGGTGGTGCCCTGCAGTCTGCCCTAGAGCCACACTGGATAGGCACCGCAGTGTGGCAGTGAGGCTTGAGAAGCCCATTCAGTGGGTCCTGTGCTCCTGCTGTCCACTGGGCGAGGGGCCACTCCACATTCCAGGATCCCAGCCCAGGAAGTGGCATCTGGGCTCTGGTCACAGTACCGAGCACTGACACGTGATTGTAGTAGAATGATAGAGCTAAGCCGTGCTGTTTGCCTTGAGCAAGTGCCAGAATCCCAACCCCAGAGTCTTGCAACAGTTCTGTGAGAAGCTCTTATTAATTTCACAGACAGAGGAACTGAGGCTGAGAGAGGAGGTGACTTTCCCAGGAACACACAGCTGCCGAGTGGTAGAGCAGGATTCGTAGCCAGGTCTGCTAGTGCTAGTGCCCTGCAGCCTGCAGTCCTGGGTGCCTCTGCCCACCTGCTTTCTGACATCTGTCCCAACCACAGTCACCTCAGTCAAGAGCAGCCTCACTTTTTCCATTAAGGGCAGTGTTTTAGGCTTGCGAAGTCTAAGGCCTCAGCCACAACTCCTCAGGTCTGCCGTGGTGGTGCAGAAGCAGCTGGATAGGTGAGTGCAGCCAGGGACATGTGCCAGGAGACTGTGGTAAGCGGGTGGATGCGTGTGGCATGAGGGTAGAGATCGGATAGGAGGCACTGTGTTCCTCCCAGGTACTTGGATTTCAAAAGACCAGCACCAGGGAGTGAACAGGAAGGCTTCATCTCATGTGGGACTACATTTGTTTGGGGAATAAGGAAGTTGCCATCTGTCCCACAAAGCACACCATGGGTGCCATTGCTCAGGCACCTGGGTTTTTGCTTGGGGAACAGAAGACTCACTGGGACCAACCTGGCATGTGAGAATGCTTACCTGTTTTTCAAAGGAATCATTCATTGCTTTTTAGGTAGGGACACGGAGTAAGTTGCTGTGTGCCCTTGGGAAAGTCACTTTCCTTCTCTGGGGTTCCCTCTTTTCATCTATAAAGTGAGGCTAAGATGGCTTTGGAATCCATGCTGCTCTGGGCAGTCTTCAGTGGTGATTCTGATGGTCACTGTCACACATTCCCTTGGGAACAGCATCGTGAAATTCAGGGACAATATTTTCCATGTTTTTTCTGCTGCAGTTCCTCTGCAATCCTATCAAGCTCTGTAGCTCTCAGAAAGGGCCCCACATCTGGATTAAGATACAGTAAGTGTAGAAAGCAGGTTGATGTGGAATCCATCCCTGGGCTGCTCAGAAGCCATGAATGGCTCTCCTTGCCAGAAGAGTAGAGTGCAGGTCCAGCCTGGGCCAACACCCTCCTCAGCCTGGTTCCAAGCCATCTTTCCGGGGTCCCCATTGCCACCTCTTAACCCTGGCAGTGCCCAGCTGCTCTTGGAAGGTTTCAGCTGTGGGCCTTTCCTCCGCTGCTCGCTCCCTCTGCAGCACCCTCCACAGCCCTGTGGTTTATTCCCAAGCACCTCTCTTCCCAGGATCATGTCTTTGGATGATGATGATGGTATTGCCAAATTAAAAAAAAAATCCATAAGTGCCTTCAGTGTCGGTAACTTGTCAAGAGCAGGCTCCTCTTGGGGAGGGTCATGCGTTCCTGGGAGCCAGGCCAGGCTGGTTATTTGCGCCTGTGGCCAACAGGTGGGAGTAGAGGGGACGGCTGTGGTCCATCCTGCTCCCACTCAGGCTAACGACTGGCCGGAAGACTTGTGTGGCTGCCTTGGAATTCCTTAACTATTTACTTTTTGTTCTGTATTTTTCTGCTTTATTTTTGAACCTAAGATAAAAAGTGAGCAGATCCAAATGTAGAGAGGGTGAGGAGAATTGCTTACAAAGGAGCAGTAAGATCACACAGGTTGAGCAGCACTTTCTGAAATGTGTGGAACCAGAAATGTTTTAAATTTTGTGGGACATTTTTGGAGTATTTTCATATACACAATGAGATATCTTGGGGAAGAAACCCAAATCTAAACATGATATTCATTTGTGCTTCATTTACACCTTATGCACATAGTGTGAAGGAATTTCATAGAATACTGCCATTGTGTTTTGACTGTGACCTGTGACTTGAGGTCAGGGATGGGACTTTCCAATCGGGGCATCACATCAGGGCTCAAAACTCTCTGATTCTGGAGCATTTGGGATTTTGTATTTTCATATTAGGTGTGCTTATCCTGTACCATATGATTATAGGTATAACCAGGGGCCTTTCCGAGTATGAACTTCATTCTGGATATTTTCTTCTATCTCATTTCATAGCTTTATTTACCTGTATTCTTATCTTGTGGCTGATAGTTTACTTCCTAATGCTGCTAAACATTTTGACTTTCATATTCTGTTTTTGCCTCTTGTATGATTTTGAACCTATTCTATTTTTAATTTTGTGGGTGATTTAAAAATTAATTTAAAAATATTTCACCAGAATTTCTAAACTGCATCTTCCTCTTACCCATTCAAATCAAAGCAAAATTTTTGCAAAATCACTTTTATAAAAACCAAAGAATTGAGTAGTATTGATTTTTTTCTTTCCTCTTTCTTGTTCTGTATTATTTTGGCTGTAAAGATCAGATGCCCTTCCTTTGCTTTCAAAGAATTCTCATATTTGCAAGATTTTTGGGTTTTGTCTGCTATAGCTTGCTTTTTTCTCCCAACAGGTGCACCAATCAATTACAACAATGTGTGCATTTGAGCCCCCTTGTTACAACCAACTGCTGTGCCCACCTCCTGAGGCTCTGATTGGGTGCTCCCAGGGTTGGGTCTGAGAGTGACTTCGGCAAACTCTCTGGAGTGGCCGTGCCCTGGGGTCCCGCTCTGAGAATCACCCAGATGTGCTCACCACCCTCCTTCTCCATGGGTGCTCAGTGACTCTGTGGCACACATGTCTGTCATTACAGCTCCATCACCCCCACATTCCTTCCCTAGATTTACCTCTTGAATTCTGAAGTTGTTTTTTTTTTTAATTTGCAGAACAGACATAAGACAATGGGTTTCCCTAGCCCCCTTGTGGTTGTCTTCCCTCATAAGAATTTGGCTGTGCAGGGAGTTCTGGGTTTCTGTATTTTTCTCATGGGCATGGCCTCCTCTATTGCCAGCAGGTGTTTTTATCAGAGTTCTTTTTATTCCCTCTGCTTGAAAATACCCAAGATTAAGATTTCTTTTCTTCCCCCTTGAAACTTCAGTTTGTGAAAGAAAAATGCCTTGGAGTTGATTTCTGATCATTAATTTTGTGGGGAACTCAATGTATCCTCAGTTAAAAGCTTCTACACAGCGCCGCAGATAGCTTCACTGTCACTTTATTCCTGTGTGACCCTGATGACTGTCGTGCTGGAGCTGTGTCCTTAAGGCTAGTTCCACAGATACGCTGTCAGTTTCACACTTGTGTCCATTCCGCAGGCCTCTGCTGGGTCCTTCCTTCTGCCCGGAGCACCCTTCTCTCTTCCCGGCATTGCCAGGGACCAGCTCCCAATGCCACCTTTCTGCACGGCCTGCCGTGACTCACATGTGCCCATATCATGGTGTCTCTTACTTCATTTTTGTGTCCTTGGTGCACCCTTGGTGCCTGGCATGTTGTCATGATAGCAGCCACTGGGCATTTCTGCTACACTCTAATCCTTGCCACTGTCAACGTGGTTTGAGTACCATCATTATTCCTATTAAGAACTAGGAAACCAAAGCTTCTTGGAGCTAGAGTCCAAACCAGGGCTGCAGCTCTGGCCTCTGCTCTTTGGCAGCATGCTAAGGAGTAGGCTCCATGCTTGGAGGGTAAACCATGACCATCAGGCGCTGTGATGGGTGCTGCACTGCTGAGGGAGGGGGGTGGGCAATGGACAAGGTTTGGATAAGAGAAAGGGTGGGCTGGGCTGAGCCTGGGCTCTTTATACTCCATCTTGTGATCCAGGCACAGTCCCTGAGATGGCTGCTGCTCAGGACACAGGGGCTCAGCCCGAAAGGGCTGGTAATGCCTGCTCACCTCTCTCCTGCCACAGCCTCGGCCTTCATCATTGCCATGCTGCTGGCCAGCCTCAACAGCTGCTGCAACCCCTGGATCTACATGCTTTTCACCGGCCACCTCTTCCACGAACTCGTGCAGCGCTTCCTCTGCTGCTCCCCCAGCTCCCTGAAAGGTAGCCGTTCAAGAGAGACGAGTGTCAGCAAAAAGAGCAACTCATCCACCTTTGCCTTGAGTCAGCGCAGCTCCAGCCAGAGGAGCTGCTCCCAGCCGTCCACAGCGTGACCCTGGGCCAGGCGGCTGTCTGCTGAGCTCAGAATGCTGCATGTATGGTCTGCCCTTGGGGCCTTTTACGTGTATGTAAGAAACCCTTATTTGTATCCCTCCGTACCTCAGGGTGGCTTGAGTCCCATGGGGGATTCTGACATGGGGCAGGGAGATGTTGGGGTGACTCAGCCATGAGATGAACCCCTGCGTCTCCCAGGCTCCCCATGTCCTGCTACCCTGACCCCAGTGCTGCTCTGGGCAGTGCCTGGGTTCTTCCTCCCCCTGAGCTGTGTTTTCACCCAGTCTCTTTTTACTTCTGTACCATGGAACCTTGTGAGAAGAGGAAGTATAGGATGGATGACTGAGCAAGCTGGGGAACTGGGGCTCTGGGCACAGGGTAAGGAGTGGGAATGGGCCCTCTGATGGGAAGGTGGTGCTGCCTCCTCCTCACCTCATGCAGTGTGCTTTGCCTGTAGAGTCCCTGGGGACTGGCTTGTCAGAAGGTAGCCCTAGGACAGGGAATTGTCCAGTAAAACTACCTGGCACAGGAGGCCAATGAGAACGTGGGTTGAAGATGTGAGAAGGTAATGTTTGATCAACACTTGAGAAAGAAAAAGAAATAAAAAGGCATCAAATTGGAAAGAAAGAAGTAAAACTATTTGTAGATGACATTATTTTATATATAGATGATCACACACGCACGCGTGTGCACACACACACACACACATGCACCACATACCGCACCCATATTGGAACTAATAAGTGAGTTCAGCAAGGTTTTGGGTACAAGATCAATATACAAAAATCAATTATATTTCTTTTTGGTACCAGGGATCAAACTCAGGACCTTGCACTTTCAAGGCAGGTGGCCTAACCACTGAGCTAAATCCCCGGCCCCTCAATTATATTTCTTTTTATTATTGATGAACAATATGAAAATGAAATTAAGAAACAATTCCATTTATAGTAACAATGGAAAGCACAGAATCAGAATAAATTAACAAAAGAATGCAGTATTTGTACTCAGAAAGTTGAACAATATTATTAAAAGAAATTAAGACAAACAGATGGAAAGACATCCTGTATTCATGGGATCAGAGATTTCATATTCTTAAAATGGCAATACTGCCCAAAGTGTAGAGATTTGCTACAATCTTTTTTTTTTTGGTACTGGGGATCGAACTCAGGACCTTATACTTGCGAGGCAGGCGGCCACACCACAGAGCTAAATACCCAGTGATTTGCTACAATCTTTATTAAAATTCTACCTAGCTCCTTTGCAAAAACTGGTAAGATGATCTTAAAATTCATAAGGAAATGCAAGGAACCCAAATACCCAAAAAACCTTGGAAAAGAAAAACAAAATTGATGGAGATATACTTCCCAATTTTAGTTACTATAAAGTTACAGTAGTCAAAGCAGTGTGGTACTGGCTTATGGACAGACATCTAGAGCAATAGAATACATTAAAGGGTACAGATAGGAACCCTTAGCATCTATGGTCAATTCATTATCAGCCAGGGTGCCAAGATGATTTAAGAGGAAAGGAATAGTCTCTAGCAAACGCTGTTGGATATACACAGGCAACAGAATGAAGTTAGACCTTCAGACCATATACATAAATCATTAAAGATCTAAATGTAAGAGCTAAAACTATAAAATTCTTACAATGAAGTGGCCATAAATCTTTGTGACTTTGGATTGGGCAATAGTTTCTTAGATATGACACCAAAGACATAAGCAACCAAAGGACAAATAAATAATAGATAGGATTTCATCAAAACTTAAAAGTTTTGTGCTTCAAGAATACTGTCCAGGGGCCGGGGCTTTAGCTCAGTGGTTCTGGTGCCTACCTCACAAGTGCAAGGACCCGAGTTTGACCCCCGGTACCAAAAAAAAAAAAATTGCAGAAGAATACTATCCAGAAAGTAAAAAGACAACCCACAGCAAGGGGAAAATATTTGTTGATCATATATATAAGGGACTTGTACATAGAATGTATAAAGAAGTCCTACAATGCAATAAATAAATAGGAGAAAAGGAAGACAGCTGGGGATGTAGCTCATTAGTAGAGTGCTTGGCTAGCATGAGCAGACTGTGTGTTTGACCCTCAGCACCACTAAAAGAAATAAAAAATGACAAAAAGAAGCCAATTTATAAATAGGCAAAAGGCTTGGATAGCCATTTCTGCAAAGAAGATATGTAAGTGATCAATAAGCTCATGCAAAGATACTCAACATTATTCATTAGTGAAAGGCAAGTCAAAACACACTGAAATTTCACTTTGAACCCACTAGGAAGGCTGCAGTCGAGAGGATGGGTAATAAGCATTGACAAGAATATACGGAAATTGGAATCTTTATATGTGCTAGTAAGAATGTACATGGTGCAGCTCCTGTGGAAACCAGTTTGACAGTTCCTCAAGAAGTTAAACATGGAATTACTGTAGGAAAAATGCTCTCTCTTATTTACCCAAAAGAAGTGAAAAACTTGTACACCGGTGTAGGCTACCCTGGGAACCTGGCCCCACACTGGGGCACCACCTGTAGCTGGCACCAGGAGGGCCTTGCTCTGGGACCCAGAGCCACTTTGTTCTCTGACCCCTGACCTGGGAGCGAACAGGGTCGTATGACAAAGAGACCTGGAGTCAGCTCAACATTTGGGCAGCCAGGGGGCTGTACCTCTAGTAGGCAGAGGAGCCCTGAGCCCTTGGCTCACCTCGCTTTTATTCACCCACAGGCACAGGCAGTCAAGGTAACAGAAGATTCATCTGGTTTCCAGTATCATTAGTACGGTCTCTGGTAAAAAACTTAACCTCAGCTGTCTTAACTTTCCCTAATATGCAGTCACCTCTGAGTGCAGACTTTCTCCTTTGTGCTCACAGAGGAGGCCAGTTAGGCCCTAATTCTCCTCTGGTCCTCTACATACCAGTGTTCACTACATCTTAGAGGAAATAAGCAAATCTCTATCAGTGGAGGAGTGGATAAATAAAATGTGGTATGTCCATACAATAGGACATTATTAAGCTATAAAAAGAAACGAAATATTGATTCATGCTGTAACATGGATGAGCCTTAAAAACATGCCAAGTGAAAGAAGCCAGTTGCAAAAAGCCATGTATAAGATACGGTCAGAAAATACAGTGAACATTTAAATTCATAAAAATTCATTACAATAAAAGATCATTGCAATTAATGTTCCTCAAAATCCTCCCCCTCACTTCAAACACACTTTTCCCATCATTCTTGCCACTTTCTGAAGCAGTTCTAGAGGTTTTTTGTGGGTGTCTTTAGTTGTGCTATCATGGCAGCCTTAATGCCTGAATTGACTCAAAACATTCACCTTCCATGAGCATTTTGACTTTGGGGAAGAGCCAGAAGTTACACAGAGCCAGATCTAGTGAATAAGGTGGCTGAGGACACAGTATTTTTATGAGCCTGCGTTTCTGTGGATGGCGCTTGGCAGCAGCACGCACCGTACTTTGGTCATAGCTTGTGAGGACTCCGAACTGTTTCTAAAAGTGATGTGAATGATCAGATCAATATATTTGAAGGGAGGGGTAATATTTTGAAGGGAATTAAGGACAATGTGTCTTTTAATGTAATTTTTAAAACTTAAGCATCATATGTTTGATAACCCCTTATATTGTCTATTCCATTTCTATGGGATGTCCAGAATAGGCACATGTGGAATATAGATAGTAGTACTTGAAGCTGGAGATTTGGGGAAATGAAGAGTGTTTGCTTAAGGGTACAGGGTTAGAGGAGGGTGATTAAAATGTTCTGGAATTAGTGGTATGGTGCCCAATTTTGAGAACATATTAAAAATCACTGAACTATACACTAAAAAATTTAAAAAATATGTTCAGTAGCTGAATTCAGAGAGGGCCAGCATGGTGGAGAATTCCTTGAACTCTCTTACCTCCCTGAGCACCTGTGTCTTATATGACTCACCACTGCTGAGCTTCAGCAAGAAAGGATATTTTCACCTTGGCTAGGAGTAGCAGCAGGAAGACAACTACCCAGAAAGGCACAGGGATGCTTGGTAGCCTCAGATGGCCATGGTCTAGTTAGAACAGCAGCTCACTGAGGGTTTCCAAGGTTTTGCTTATCAGTTAGTCTTGTTCTGTAGATGTTCTGTCATCCTCCAGGGTAGGATGTGACTGTGTCCAAGAGAGGCCCTTAGATATCAAATCTAGGACACTATTGCTCAGAAGGGGTTTTATGGCTGGGACTAGTCAGCTAGGGGCATCTTTTAATATCCAGACACATTTTGGGACTTTCTGAGACACAATAAGAGCACTTCCCTGAGGCCACAGATCCATTCTCTCTCTTTCTAACACACTTTCTCCTTCTACACTGCAACACACACATGCACACACACACACGATCATCAAAAGTGAATATGTAGCCAGCTGTGTGGTGCATGTCTATAATCCCAGCTATAACAAAAGCTGAGGTAGGAAGATCATGAGTTCAGCAAGGCCAGCCTGAGACCCTATCTCAGAATTAAAATAAAGGGGCTGAGGGTGCAGCCAGTGGTAAATCACTTCCCTAGGATGTGCAAGGCCCTAGGTTCAAGTTCCAGAAGCACTGGGGGGAAAAAGTGAATATGTAGACTCCAAGCCCTTTTCCCTTAGGCCCTGAAAAAAAATCTTGTCACCTAATGTGGTCTTCTTAGGGAATGAGTTGGCATGTCACCACTTCACGAGGCCCTAAGTGCTAGCTGGCTTTGATGAAGGTCCTGTTTCCAGAGTGTTTTGCCTTTGTTTGTATTCAGTGTAACAAAATGCCACTTAACACACAGTGTGGTTCCTGGATTTGTTTCTGCTGTGGTCACGCTGCCATGTACTGTGCCATTTGGTGAATGATGTGGCCAGTCCTGAGATTCCTGCTTTGTAAAAGGTGCACTAAATAAACATTTTTTTTCCTATATTGCTTTGCCCTTTTTCTCCCCCCAAGCTCAGTGACTGTGTCTGGTGGCCTGCAGACTCCAGTTTGTGGGCGGGCTTCAGTGTTACCTGTCTGATGATGACAGGTGGATGGGCTAAGGCAGGAGCAAAGGGGGCCTGGTCCTGTTCTCTGGAGTCCCAGTGCATTCATCTGTCTATTGAGAGATGCTGGAAGACCCTGCAACAAACCCCACCATGTGTCACAATCTAGGAGTCTAGATTGTCACTTTGAAGAGACCTAAATGAATATTTCTTAGATGGAGATTTGGGGACCGCCTGCAGAATCACAGATGGATTGTGTTAAAAGGCAGATTCCTGGGCCCCATGACTGAGTCAGGTTCTAGAGCTGGCACTGCAGGACCTGCATTTTGAGCCAAAGCCCCCTCCCCATCTGTATGTAGTGCAGGAGAGGGAGTACCCTGTCCTCCACCCACTCTCAGTGTACCCATAACATGATTTTCTGCATGCTGCTTCCTCAAGGGGATCCTTGGAGGGGTCAGACTTCACACACACGTGCATCTCTGTTATGTGTCTTTTCTCCAGTTCTATGAACTTGACAGCTAATCAAGCACCTGCTGTAGTCTGCCCTTAGAAAAGGAGTGGGTTTGAAAAGTTGGAGTCAGAGTCCAGTGGATGCCAAATACCCAGACTGTGAAAATCTTTGCCTAATCCAAGATTGCAAGTCTGAAACTGATGGTTCATTGATTTCAAGGGATGTTGGAGAGGACAGGCCCACCTTTTGGGGAGTCTGCTGACTTCTCCGGACTGTAAATTTCTCATCTACAAAAACAAGCATCAAATGATGAACCACTCAGGGATAAAGCATACTAATTTCTGCAACTTATTTAAAAGCATCAAGATGGGACTGTAGATAGTTAGAAGGGAGCCTGGATGGAGATGTGATAAACCCCCAAGATAGTGAGCATATTGGAGTTCACTGCTTCTTTCAATTTTGTCTGGTGTACAAATTACATAAGATGTTATAAAAAGCAGAAATGGGGCTAAATTTTATAGTAAAATGGATAATAGAAATGGTTTGTGGATGCTAAGATTTGGGCCAGAGATGGCAGCTAGGAATAGAGACAGGACAGGATTCTATGTCCTGGCTCCCGGTCTTTGTCTGGTCCACTCTGCTTTGCTATCTCCAAAGACCCTGGGCTCATGGCCAGCAGCAATGAGACGATGCCCCTCCAAACCCTGAAAACTGCCTTTATTTCATGAGACTTAAGTTGGTGTTGCATGGAAAAAAGAAAAGAAAACATATCAAATAGGATGTGGGGATAGAGTGGCCCAAACTGGTTTCTTTACAGCAGAACTGGATAGAACCCTTACTGTGTCAGTGTCTATTGAAAATCTCCACAGTTAGGTGCATTTCTAAACAAATGTGGCCACAGAAGCTAACCTCCCTCCATTTGTTCTTTTTGAGGAATACGTTCTGGAGGGCATACTTGGGAAACAGCACTGTGGTTGTAAGATGGCTCAGTTTGTGTATTTTTTTGCTCTTGGAGCAGGGGAGTGGGGGTAGCTCATTCTACTGTTTTGTCCAGAGCCATACAGGCACACAATGGGCTGTGGGCATCAGTGGGTCTCTTAGGGCTGAGAGTGCACACGCCAAGGGCCAAGGCCATAGGTGCCAGGGGCTCTGTGTCTGTGAGCCACAGGGGAGGCCCTGAGAGGTTTGAGGTCAGGCCCTGCTCCCCAGTATCCTATGCCCCTGCCCCCCAGTATCATATGCCCCTGACCTGCCAGCTCATGGGCCATTTCCATGTTTGGTGCCCATTTGCTGGCTCAAGGCTAGCAGAAATCATTTGGAAATGATCTCCCAGTGAAGACAAGTAATAGCAACAAGTAGAGTCCCAAGAAAAACCATGCTCCATTTTGGACCTTCTTTTGCCCAGGAAAAAAACCGAGCCGCTTTCCCGCTGCTGTGCACAGGACAGTGAGCGGTCAGACCCGCGCCAACCTTGTGGACACAAACAAGATGCACAGCCCCCATGCAGCTGAAACCTTTATTGGGGCCCTTTTCATACCCACAGTCACTGGTAGCTTTCTTGGGCATGTGTGGACGGGGGACCCATGCTGGCTCACACTGTCACAGTACACGTGGATGCAAAGACTTGCATAGCTGCCTCTTAGCACACATCTTCCTCCCAGCTGCTTCTGGGCATCATGGGTCTGGGCAGAGCAAGGGCCACAGTGCTACAAGGCTGGCTGACTTTCCTTTCTGGCTTCCCTATATGATATGCTCCCATGTTGGGGGAAATAGAGCAGTTGCTAAGGAGAAAGAGCTCTCCTGCCCTCTGGGAGCGGTACCAGAGCTGCCTGGCCTGAACCCGGCCCTGCCACCCCCTTACCCCACCAGGCTTTAGATTTCCTTCCGCAGCATCACCTTGATGCTGCTACAGAGCTGGCCCATGGCGGCAAAGAGCGGGTTGCAGAAGGTGCGAATGCAGAGTGAGTAGATGTGGCTGATGCACTGGATCTCGATCAGGTAGCTCTTAATGCATGGAACCACTGCCCAGATGTGGCAGAAGGAGATGCAGGCAAACAGGAAGCCCCAGAGCAGGGCCAGTGGGACACCCAGCAGCGTGGACAGCAGGCGGTAGCACCAGTACTTGGAGACGGTGAAGGTGGTATAGCTCACCTTCCACACGCCATCGAAGCTGTAGGTGCCCACAGGCTCCGCAATCACATCTTCGAAATCCACCTGCAGGTGCAGGAAAGGGAATGGTTACTCACAGCATACACACACTCCCCCAGCTTCTGCTTGTATGCATTAGAATCCCTTGGGGGGCTGGTTAAGCCCAGAGGGCCAGAAGCCATTCCAGAAAAGTTCTGACTTAGTAGCTCTGGGTGGGGTGGGACTCTGCACTTCTCACAAGCTCCTAGGGATAGGAATGCCACCATTGGTCCCCAGCCTGGCTTCCTTGCCCCAGCAGGGCACAGAACAGCCTGCTGGGCACAGTGGAGAGCTTGCCAAGCCCCTCATTTCATGGATGGGTAAGCAGACCTCAGAGGTGAGTGCCTTCCTTAAAGCCAACAGTAAATTGGAGGCAGTACTACCATTTGGACCTGGAGCGTCCTCCAGGGCTCATGTGTGAAAAGCTTGGTACCCAGGTGGTGCTACTGGGAAGTGGAGTGGGAGATCTTGGTCCTTGAAAGGGGAAGGTGGGACCCTGGCCCGCTCTCTCTCTCTCTCTATTTCCTGCCCACAAAGGTAAATGGCCTTGCTGTACCTCATGATGAGGCTGCCTTGCCACAGGCCCCAAAGCAACAGGCCTATCAATCATAGATAGGAAGTGGAAAAAATAATAATTTGACTTAAATAAAAATATATATTCATCTACCTTTCTATATGTCCATATACCCATCCAAATAACCATCTATCCATCCATTCTCTTTTCCATCCATCCATCCATCCATCCTTCATCCATCTATCCATCCATCCACCCACCCATCCAAACACACAAACACAAACAAACATTTACTGAGAACCTCCTGAGTTTTAGGCTTCCACCTCTTAGGGAGAGCTTAGTATAACACCTGGTACAGGTAGGTTCTTGTTGACAGTTATTTGTCCAAATGTTTTAACGTTCCTATGAAAATATATCTCAGAAATCCTATTGACTTTTCAGATTGTACATGGGATGATTTTTCAGCCTACCTAGTCATAAATGTTTATCTGTGGGTCTCAGTCTAAGCTGATGAGATGGGTGGAATCCTCTTTTCTCTCATTTTCTGCTTGTAGTAAAAAATCTACCTCAAAGATCTATCTGTTGTGTCTTTCCACAATGATTTCTTCACAGAAGCTGTTGGTGCTGGCATTTGAACCAATTCCAAGGATTTCCTTTGGGTTCTGTGCACTGGGCAATTGCACTGCTTTCTGTGAATCAGGAAACGTGCTCTCTGAGGGCTGTGCCCTGGTGGTAAGAGGCAGACAACAGCTCCCCTAATTCAGGTTTGAGTATTGAGAGAAATCTAGACACAGCACACTAGTTTGGGGAGATATTTATAAGACCTGGCTCAGCCAGCTCTAGGCAACCCTGCTACCACATCAGAAGTGCACAGTGACTTCATCCTTTAATTTCTTTCCAGAAGCAGAGAGGAGAGGGGAGTCTGAGGGGCTTGATCTAGCAGGTTAGCTCAGGCTTTGTGTACAGCTGGAGAGAGAAGCTGAGCTGGAGTTCAGGAAAGAGAGACTCATGGCTGTTCATTTAGTTGGTGTCCCCTTCTCTGGCACGTTTAGTTTTGGAACATCAAGAGAGGCAGTTGGTGAATGGGAACCAGCCAGAGCAGTCCCCACAGCTCCTGATGGGATAGGGAGGTCCAGAGGACACAGGGGAGGCCAGCAGCCACCCCTGTCAAAAACACTTCCCCAGGCAGGCGCACCAGCTGATGGCTCAGCTGAATGGAGCCAGGTGGGGCCGAGTGGGGTTGAGCAGTTGCAGCCTGACCGGGACCTGCTTGCTCCAGCTTGCTCCACCAGCTTGCCACCAGGACAGGGTGAGGAGGAACCCCCC